GTCTTGTGGGACATGACTTTATGAGATTAAGCTGGTATTAGTCTCATGGAGCAGGTTCTTACAGAGTGGTTCAACAGTCCATTACAGGGGACAAACACAATACAATAAAAAAAAAACATTTTTTCAAAATAAAAATGTAAGCAAATATAAAAATGAAAATCCTCATAACCTGTATGTGTTCATTAACTGCTCTTTTTAAACATTGCACTTCTCTTTTAAGGTTTCCCTCTAYATTCATTAAAGAAGAAACGCTGCCTTTAGAGAACATAAAAAAAATCCTCTGGGAACAAAAAAAAAAAGAATTCATTTTATTAGGATGACGATTTTAAAACAAAATCATCAATTAAAAATACAACACAATGCTTAAAAGCAAATCAAGTTATTTAGAATTATTTACACTGTCCAAAAAGTATGTACATTTATACATAACGATTCAAAGCAAACAAAGTTTCAAGTGGATTTTATCTGTAAGATTAACATTCAAAAAACAGATGTGTTGAATTCATCTAAATAAATGATGTCAACTGGTTCAGCTAAAATGAGTAAAAGTAATGCAATTTTTAAATTTACTTTAAAAGTAAATGTGATGTATTTACTCTATTCAGTTAACATATTTTGTTTAAGTAAATTCAACACATCTGTTTTTGAGCAAATTCATACATCTATCATGTCATCTTTTCAATAAGTTACGTGTCAAACTCAAGGCCTGCGGGCCAAATGTGGCCCTCCACAGTATTTTATGTGGCCCCTGAGAGCATCAAAAATGTATGAATGTCTTTAATCGTATGATGCTTTAAGGACCACCCTTGAATGATTATTTCACCTGCCAAATTACAACCACTAGGTGGAGCTGCACAGGGCTAAAAYATAAAATCTACATTTAGCTGCGTTTTTGCTGTCTACTTTTGCTGGGGCCGTAGTGTGAAGTGGGATCTTGCCACTTACAAGTTGTAATTTTAAACTGGAATGTCCCTCTAGTGGGGATTCCCTGTAGAAAAGTGGGAGAGTTTAGAATTCAAGATGGTTGCTACTCAGCACAGCTCATTAGTGAGTAAAGCTCTCTTGCTTTTCCATTYAATAGTATTTCTATATTTTTATTTCACATTTAGTCAGTCGTACATTTCAGTGTTTATAAGAGTGTGTGTTAAAACACTGTTTCTATGCAGGAAATACATGTAGAGCTCAGTTAGTGTTTGTTAGCAGGACTCAACTGTAGCAACGTGACGTTTTCTGTTTAGTCCAAGTTAAACACGAAAATTCTAAGTAAATTACAACTTTTCCCTTTGAGGGCCACARTGATGCTCATATGGTGTGGCCTTCAATGAAAACGAGTTTGACATCCCTGCTATAAGTCCTAAATAGAACAAAACTGAAAAATTAAAACTTACGTGCTCCTTTCTTTGCTTGATGTTTTTGAGGATGTCCTTAGCGAAATGTGAGCAAACAATGCAGGTTTGTCAAGATTACAGGAAACTCCATCAGTGGGAAGTGTTCTGGTGAGGTGGGGAACTGTCTCGTCACAGTCGGAGTCACAATGTTCAGGTGAGACCTGCTCTCACGTATTTCCTTTACAGAATAAAAAAAACATAACACAAAACATGTACTCCCTTCTAAAAATATCTTGTTTGGGGTTTTTGCTATTCGACTTGCCACAGTTTTTTTTTATGTGCTGTCATCCTCTCTGCATATCATGTATTTTTTTTTGTTTAGTTTCATCTCATCTGGTTCCAAAACGCTTGCATCCCTTTGAATTGTCATCCAGACTTTTGCCCCAGTTCTCCTCAGCATCAAATTGCCTCTGAGTCCTTTAGCTTTACCTTTCCCCACTCATCTCATATCTAAACCAGTTTTTTTTTTACTTGATTTTATTTTGACAGCCTGGCCTAGCAGTGCAGGATCTTGATGAAGGCTTTGCGGAACTCAATGTTGAAAGTGGTGTAGATGACAGGGTTGACGGCGCTGTTGAGGTACCCGAGCCAGGTGACGGCGCTGTACAGCGATTGCGAGATGCAGCAGCTCCTGCAGTGGGCCTTCAGCACGTGGGTCAGGAAGAAAGGCAGCCAGCAGATGATGAACACACCTACAGGAGACAAGGACAGGGCATGATCCAGTCAGGTCAGGGGGAACCAGAACTCTAAAACATGCTGAATTTATGCCATGAAAAGTTTGGACTTTATACAGAGCAAAAACAAGCGTAACGGTATCCAAAGTGTAATTACAGAAGCTGTCACCAMGACCGCAGCAAGTGACACAACGTAGGCTATGCACAGACGACAGTAATGCATATGCATTTGTAATTTTCAGAGGCACAGAACTGCTGAAGCAACAGATTTCATCAGTTCTATTGGCAGCCATCAAGTTCTAAGTTGTAAAACACACCAGGTTATAGAAAATAAAAAATGCAATCAAGCAAAACATGTTGAAACCTTATAGAATGCTGGYAAAGATGTCAGACACAATACGTCTTTTAATGAAATAAAGTGGGCRAGAAAATGTGTCCAAATTCAGCAACTATACTGTTTAGAACATTGTTAAAACCTTGTCTAAATGTTAAAAGTTTGGATCAGCTATTTAATTCAAAGAGATGGACGCTTCCAAACTTTTGCCTGGCACGATCTCTGCAGGTGTCTAAGGTCCAAACGTCTCATCGGTTAGTCAGCTCTTCCTCCGCCTCACCGAGCACGATGGCGAGCATCTGCGTGGCCTTCCGCTCCTTCTGCTGCGACAGCCTCCCCCTCGCCCTCTCCTTGGTGGCGCTCCATTTCTCCCGGCCCGCGCTGCGCTCCCTCCACCCCTCGCGACCCCTCATGCCGTCCTCGAGGGTGGGAGGGCGGGGCGTCAGGCCGCCCAATCGCGTCACGGCCGAGGGCGGAGCCGGGGCGGGCCCCACGGAGATGGAGAGCGAGATCTGAGCCCGGCCCGTATGGGACGAGGGCTGGGGGGCGGTGGGAGAAGGGGCCAGGCTCTGCTCGGTCCGCGGCAGGAAGCGACCGGGCCCCGCCTCGACGGGGTGGACCACCGCCTCCTTCCCCAGGGTCTGACACACAGAGAGGGAGGAAGGAGTGGGGTGAGGGAGGCAAGGTTTGGGGGACAAAGGCAGATGCGGGTGCTTGTGAGGGAGACAGAGGAGCAGAAGAACTTTTGTTAGTTTAAGAATAAAGAAGATTCACAGCAGTTTTTTATAATCAGTCGGATCACTCACCACTTTCTTGCGTTGAGGACCTGCGGTAGCAGGTCTGAGGATCAGAGTGCACAGTTTCACATCTTCAGGTTGTGTACATTTATTCTGAAAGGGCAGGAAGCAGCAGACAGTATAAAGAGATTCTGKGTGGAACAGGACTAACCCCTGATTTAGATCAAAACAGAAAACACACGGTAACAACAACTTTTATTTAATTAACATTCCTACCTTGTAACCCTTTGGATAAAACTATACAACACAAATAGATTTATGATATTTTTAAGTTTCGACAAGTTTTATTCACAGGTGGTGCAGTGTGTTCAAATGATACCAAATCATCACAGTTTTTTATTCTATTTGGCCTTTTGAGAAGTGGCCTTGATTTAAAAAAAAAACTATTTTTTTCAATTTCATCTGAAATTTATGCTTTGTTATTTCAGCTACTTTAAGAAGCTGAAGGCATCCTTCAATGACTTTATGGATGAAAAACGCAACTTCAAGCCCAAGTTTTCTTTGCTAATTTTAAGTGACAAATTTTACAAATTCCTCAAGAACAAACATGTTTGAGTAAAAACTTTGTTAGATTGGACTAAAGGCTTTCTTTTACCTGCAAATCCTGAAAAGTTTGGAATTTGAAGTTTGACGCTGTTTTTCAACAGTCAAACTAAAATTGATTTTGTTTTTTACAAAAAGTATTTCTATCTGATATTGACACTAGCTTTGTTTGTCGTGAAATTGAATTTTTATTGGATAAATCTTGTTGCAGCAGGAATTGAATTTGAACTGCTCAGATTGAATCTGTATGCGCATAATTTGAAATTGAATGCATTGGTTTGAAAAAGAATTTTACTAAATTGAAACTGAATTTAAAGTTTTGTATCTGAATTAATTTGCTTTGAAACTGTATTTTGGTCTATTAAAAATTTAGTTTGACTACTTTCACTTTCAGTTCCATGATTCAATTTCAGTTTCAAAATTCAAACTTTTGTGCCACACGTCCTGGTTCTTGAGAAAGCCAGCCAGAGTAATCAAACACAGATCCACAGATTTATGTTTCATTTCGGTGAAGTTTCCCTTCTGTATGTAACAGAGTTGATAAAAGTGACATTAACAGACAAAGTTATTTTATTGCAGTGATTAATTTTACCCACAGAAAATGTTACATTTACATCACATCATGGATCACATATTGATCAGATGCTGCTTCTGACTGATCCATGATGTGATGTAAATGTAACATTTTCTACATATAAAATGGGTTTCATTTTTGATAAAGCTTTCAAATTGGACAAACAGRTAAACTCAGTGGTGAAATCGAGCTTTTTCCATCTAAGACTTATTGCTAAGGTGAAGCCATACTGTGTCTCCCAATCAAAGACCTTGAAAAAGTGATTCATGCTCTCATTACATCTTGTTTGGATTATTGTAATTCTTTGTATGTTGGTTTAGATAAATCTCCGCATCGATTACAAGTTGTCCAGAACGCAGCAGCTCGTCTTTTAACAGGAACTAAAAAATACGAACACATATCCCTGGTTCTGGCTTCTCTCCATTGGCTTCCTGTTCATTTTAGGATACATTTTAAAATTTTATTGCTTACTTTTAAAGCTTTAAAAGGTCTGGCCCCATCCTACCTGTGTGATCTCATTAACGTCCACACTTCAGTTAGAGCACTTCGGTCATCCAACCAGTTTCTCTTAGATGTTCCTCTAGATTAAAGTTTAGAGGTGATCGGGCCTTTGCAGTTTCTGCCTCAAACCTTTGGAATAATTTACCTCTTAGCATTCGGACTGCTGAGACTGTTGAGACTTTAAAATCTCTGCTTAAAACTCATTTTACTCCCTGGCTTTCATTCTGGTAGAGTTTGAGATTCTTTTAAAGCTAATGTTTTTAATGTTCTTTTTCTCTATTTTAAATGGATCTWATTGTTTAYATTTCTGTGGTGYTTTGTTGTTTTATTTATTTGGCTCAGTTGTGAAGTACTTTGGTCAGCTTTTGCTGTTTTTTTTTTTGTGCCAAATAAATAAATTGACAAAGTGACATTACCCTAACATTTATTCTTTGTGTATCTGTAATGAAAAGTAACTTTTCCTCAAAAATGCTTTATGGGAATAAAAAAAATATTGTTTTGCAATCTTACCTWTAACATACAAAGCTCTCAAYAACCAAGCTCCATCATAAATTAAAGATTGTAATGTTCCGTATTTTCCTAAAAGAGCATTTTCTCTCAGACTGCAGGTTTATTTGTGGTTCCTAGAGCTTCTAAAAGTAGAACGGGAGATACTCAGTTTGGTTTTAAGACTAGACTTTAAGTGCCTGTGACACGCCTATCCTTCAAATACAAAAAGTCAGAGAAAACATCTTTATACTTAAAGAGTAACTTACACCAAAATTAACTTATTTTAGCTGATAAACTGCCTAGAATGTGTCTAAAATGTTGTATAGTACTGTTTCTGTGCTAATTTTGATGTTTTTGTGTGTATTTGTTCAAATCGTCCTGATGCATCTCAGTAATCCAGGTAAAAAATCAAAAGGAAAAAAAATTGTATAGGTCCTCTGGAC